ATGTATCTGCCACTCTCTAAGTAGCAATCATTTGTCTGATGGGATTCAGCATTTTTCTCAGCCATTGCGCAATACTGTGATACGGCGAATTCCTCATATCTGGTGTGGGTCTCAGTGATGTGTCAGATTTATGTCTTTTTGGGGGGCCATACAGGCGAGGAGTGCTGGAGCCCATGGGATGAAGTTGGTCGTGCGTTTCTTTGGTGATGGTGCCGTCGCTCACTAGTGATTTCAAACACCTGACCAATTGGTTTTCTTCTGGCGCCGACCATCAGACGGGAAGTGATAGCACTCCCCAACTCCGCCTGACTTCATTCATGTGATCAGATGACTGCCATCATAATCACAAGTTAATATTTCTGATCAATTATTTCTTTGTTCTACTGACGATTGCAACAGACGTTAACCTAAGGTATATTATTGTGTGAGCCTGACGAGGAATTAATCGAAAATAATTGTTCACTTAAAGCTTCGTGTTTTTTTCTCTTTCTGAACTTGACTTAATGACCTACCTAATACTTTGAAAGACTCATTTAACAAACCAGGTAATATTTTTGGGGGTGACACACAGTAAGTGGTGGGGCAGAGGATCCCAGACAAGCAATGTAGAACGATGGTCTTCTGACTTTTGTAAATAATTCCTTCACATGGAGTGATCAGGAGAAATCGTGGCTGAACTTGACGCCTAAATACTTTACTGATGTGGTAGGGTGCAACTCCTCACCCTCTATTTGGCCTTAATGGCATTCTGTGAGACGTTGCGATATCGACATTCCCTGTGTAGAGGGAAAAGAACCTCATTCTATTTCAATGCATTGAACAATAAATCGCGAGTTTTGGACCACGATGCAAGGTTGTTTATATAGACTTGTAATTTGTTAGCTGTGGTCGAAGATTCAGTGCTCAATACACTTCATCGGAAACATGTTGTGAGTTGATCTAAGCAGACAAGAGCTATGGCAACAGCATGGTTGTAGTGCGTGATGAAGAAATTTTGCCAGTTCGGGTAAACTTACATTCAGAAACGAATCTCCTCAACAGCTGGACGCTAAAAGGTTTCTACTGGATCATGTAAACCTCTCAAAAATAGCTAACGGTTTACAAATCCAAAGTGTTACCGTGTTCAAGAAGCCATATTCGCATTGGTTTTATCCTGTTATCTAGCGATACTAGCACGGAATGTACAAGGTAGGCCATTGCATCTTTCTAGATATCGAGTTTCCGTAAGACAAACGTAGAGGATCATCTGAACGAGTTTGAGTCCATATATCCTTCCACTGATGTAATCTCGAAAACCTTCGAGTTTACTGGAGTGCAGGCTATCAATTGGCATTTATTTGAATCTCCTTGACACTGTTTTAATGTGAATACCACTCTGACAGTCATCGGTACTATGTTCATTCACACACCACGTCTATGACTCAGCAAGTGGCTGGCCCATGGGACAAGCGCACTTCTTGCGAACACAACGGGAGACAGTCCGTCTGGCTCATCTGCCTTACAGGAACGCAGCTTCAGCGATTTATAATATACTGTATTTTTATCGTGGGAAATAGGGTTTACTGGCCATCCCATTCGGATGGAAGATGGACAACTGGTTGTACCTGTGGTGTGAGAAAGACGCTAAAGCGACGGGCAACTGTTCAGATCTGCCGGTGATAAGTGACTCAGCTTCTGTTTGCTTGGCGGACATGTCGTGTTGCCAAACTGAGACCGCGGAACATCCATTGGATTGATCACATAATAACTATTCACACATGCCGGAACCGTTATGGAGGACCGAACGGAGACTGTTCAAACATGGATGACTGAGACGTGATGCTTTGTCAAATACGCCATCTGTGCTACCCACTAAGTAGTATGCTTATTTTTGATACAAACCGTTGCTCGGAGCCCAACTTGACTTTTCGCACCTTCTGAGGGCTACATGACAGTTACAGCAGATGTTATTATCTGAATCTTAAACTTCTACAGTTTACGATTGACTGGGTTTGATTTCTTCAGCATCCACCAGACATCCAGGCAGCCAATATTTCCGGGTATAATCTAGAAGTACAGATGGTTAGGATGGTGCAACTCCTCTTTGATAATGAATTAAATTTTGGTCCCTTGGCGAAGTGAGAGACACATTCCCACTTCCCCCCTACTTTCTGTGCTTCAACTGCTGCGCGTTCCTTTTCGCTGGCTGTTGTCCCCCCCCCTCATTGCTTTCAACAGTGATGCCAAGTCGAACGAGTTGTGCCTTGTCCCTCCGACCTACGCGACCATGGTGAGCGCGGGCACCTCATCATCATTGACTTGTCCGCTTATCTGGCCTGTGTCGGTTGCGTTCGCTCAAAATACCGGCTGTCAACCTCACATGGTGTGTTCAAATTAAGTCAAAATAAGCTTTATGAACCCTAATATAGCTTCATTTTCAGCCTTTAACACAGCCACTGCGAACATCCTGGGTGACGAAAGCAATATTACTATAAATACTTGGGAAGAAAGATAGAAAACATGCATAACTGTTACTCCAGCAGTCGTTCCCGCAGCACGTTGTTGACTTTCTGTGGGTCAACTAACAGACGTGATAAATAAGGCAAGCCAGTATTACAGTACGATGAAGTACGGGAGAATAAAATCTTGAATTTCGAACACATAGAGTAGCATGAGAGTGTTATTGAAAGATCACTGTGTAGCGGATGAAATCGATCCTTTAGCATCTTAGAAGACAAATTAGTACATACATCACGATGCCTGGAAATGATCAGACCAATTAAAGTGTCTCTAGACAAGCTGACACATCTAGAATTATGCTCTATCGATCAGTATACCCAGTGATGGCTAATACAAAAGTTCACAAGCTTAAATATTAAAGTACGATGTATTGAAAGCACATTAACTCTGAGAGCATAAAAGAAAAATATCTAACTGTCAACTTTTGCTGACATGCGTGAGCCAACTAGACGCCAAGATGCTTGGCCGTGGATGAGATGGGTATGGGGTTTTCGTTCACAGTAAGGGTAGGGGAGATATATATATGATGAATCGCAACTTGCCGCCACCAAGAAATGAAAATACTACCTTACTGCACTCTAAGAGGTCTGGATGAAGACCATTCCACCAGATATTCCAACCTACGTTGAAGTGATAAGGAATACTGGGTGCCATACATCACAGCCCTACATCGTCAACATATTTGCATTCTATGAACTTGTCTTGTATAGGGAGACGTTCAACATATAAGGAACATATAAAGAAAACTAGAATCTCTCTGCTGAACACCACAGTCGACACGGAAGACAGAGGATTTCTTACCGTTTAACTTGGTGAATTGAGAACGATCCGTCAAATACTCACTCTACAGATTACACTACCGGATGAACTCCATTTTCGCATAGTAGGTTGCGCAACATTGACTTATCCAGGCTTCCAAAGGCATTCGAGTAGTCGAGGAAGAGAAACTGTACGGATATTGATCTGTTGCAAACGCTATAGAGTGAACAAGATATGTCACTGCATCCAATAAAGAGCGCTGGCGTCTATATGCAGACTGGTGGATATCGCCCATAGGAGTGGCTGTAAAAAATTTCGGAAGCACTGATGTGCACACAATCGGGCGAAACATTTTAGACGCATTTTTGGCTCTGGGCTTATTCTGGCCATCTCCAAATGTCCGGGAGAGGCATTTGTCAAAGTGATCTGTTCAAGGCAGTGTGAGAGAATCAGTACACTCTGTCAAGGCTACTGATGAGAGAGCATCCGGACCACTAGATTTGCTTGCCTTTACTCTTTTGATTTCCTTGTGATCGTTGCTTTGATCGAAGGACGCAGCTGGACTTGAGCTAACGAAGGAGGTCAAACTAGTGCAATTATGAAAGCGGTCCTAAACTCAGGATATAGCTTCCACCCATCCCTTTCACCGCTCTGGTTGTTGGCGCTCTTACCATATAGCTGCCTCAAAGGCTTCCATAGATCAGGACAGTTGCCTACAATCGCTCCGACGTATAAAGCTTTAGGCTTGTTATCTCAATCTCATCTATGGTTATTTATCAGTTCAAGTGTTCTTGTGACGCTACTTACATTGCTCCGAACGACACGGCACTTGTCCAAACGCGTGAAGGAGCACTGCCCGCGCTGGTTGCGTGAAGGAGGAACTGGGGCCATTAGCAGCCCCGTTTTGGCCCATATTGTTGACACGGGTCACCAAGTTTATCTAAAGCGTGCCTTCAGGATAATTTACAGGGTCCCCCAGCGTCAATCAAGAGGTTTGCGCCTCCGTGCGCTCGCGAAAGCTGAATCGATTTGCATTCGGTTGTTTCAGCTTTCATTATGCTCGCAAAAGAAGTTGCTCCATGCCTTACAGCTTCCCTGGCCAGCTAGAACGAATGATGCTGAGGTCGGTTGCCACAGATCAAGCTCGGTACCATGCAATCGACCTGTCAGGTCAAAGATCAACTTTTAGCCTCCCTCACTGAACCGTTGATTAACTATGTAATTTGAGCCGATGAGTCGATTTCCGTTCATTATTTTACCACTAAACGTAATTTTAATGGTCTGAAGAGAATCATCGTAAACAGTTGTTCACCTATGACTAAATGGGACTTTTCAAGTTGCTCAAATTTAATTATTGAGCCGTCTTGCACTCGTAAACCCATTCTTTCATCCTTTGAAATTGTTTTAACAGTGGTGATGAAAATGTATCCGCTTTTGAGCAAATTTTTCCAACATGGCAACACGTGTCAATGCAATATTTCATGTAATCTGTAATATGGTCACATTGAAACGACAGGTCCTCGTCGTTGAATATCGAAAAATAAGTTAGAGTCTACCTCCCCTGGAGCCTTTTGATATTTTCCTAGGAGCAATTTCGTCGTCTGATACTCATGTAAGAGCGCCTATCGAGAATACTATGTTTCCCTACGGATTACATCGTCGCTCCCCCAAACGATGGGGACAGATTTGTGGGAAATGGTATTGTCTGAGTGTTACATTGTAACACTTCCGTGCATGAGTTGATGGGATGTGTTGCCTCCGCCGGTAAGCCGTACCGATGATTCGCTGCGGCGCATCCACCACCATTCGCGTGTGGGCTTGTATACAACGAGGGTCGTTGGGTCCCTATGCATACTCGAACCCGTGCCCTCAGTTTACAAGGCAAGCTTGTAATCCTTAAGACCACGTAGTGAAGGCTTGGTGTTGTGTATTGCCTCCACGACCGTTTGCCGTCGTGTTTGTTGGCCACTTGTACGTCACGCGTACTGTGTGTGTGTGTGTGTTGCATACACCATGCTTCTTCACTGTAGTTCTGCTACATCGACTTGCACTTAAACTGGCCCCTCAATCTGAATTAAACGTATTCCACTTGATTTGCTTTGCTCAGCTCAGTTATGCTGTTGCGTATTCTTTGTCAAATTTGCATGTTTGTTTTTCCTCAAATTATTTGTTGGTTTTTGGTATCACCGGTGTGGCTGCGCTTGATGTGAATGTTGACAAGGTACCTACCCGTCCAACACTCTTCACCTCGATTACTGACTTCAGGAGACTGAATCGGAGCTGGGAAAGGGGTATGCGGTTCTCGTTTCCGCGCTCAACTCAAAGAATAGTTCCACACACCCAATGCGGAGCGAACTACTGTCCAGCCACTGCCTGGTATACCTCTGGTACGCATGGTTCCCCAAAGTACACTGATTGGAATGCAGCTGCCTTGTAAGTTGAAAGGGTGTGGACCTGCTCCGTTAGGGAACCGTGACTCATCCACCTCTGGTCTTATTACTTCTGGTTTACGGGATCTCGAGTGTGTGGATGGAGTTGTGGGTGGTGCGGCGCAAACCACTCATGGTCTCACTGTGGGAGCAGGCGTCCTGTGACTGCTCCCATGGACGCCGTAGTGATTGGCACATCCGAAACCGGATACCGTCAACCTTGTATATCCACTGACGTTGTCATCAAACTTGTGCCTGACTTGTGTTTTTCAGCGTCTTCTTTGTCGTCGTCGAAGAAGAAGAGGATGAGGAAGAAGAAGAAGAAATTTGATAAGTCTGGTGATCTGTCGACGTCTGGATTAGCTTCTGAGGCAAACACTCCTGGTGAGAGATATTTTGTTTGTACTTATGCAGTTGTATTTTGGTGGCATGGGTGACCCTTGATTTAGGTTCTGTTTACTGGCTAAACGTCGACTGTGTTTCTCGATTATCACTTTTTCTGCGCTGGTCCTGCTCCTTTCTGCCTTACGAGCGCGCCTGTGGAGGGAACGGTGGAGGCCCATCGTCACCAGCCTCACAGCCTTGTGGTTCATGCTGGTGCGTCAACTGCGAGTGGTACAGGCACTGGAGGAAAACCCCACTCTCAGACTAGTCCACCGAAAATTTTCATTCGCCCACGAGAATGCCATTAATCGTCTGCTCTTCTCGTCATTTTCCCTTCCCTCTCACGAATGTTGGTCTCGCTCGTGTCAGCAAACGTCTTTCTGCTCCGGCTGAATGTTCGTCTTCGAAGGTATCTGCTCGTCAACTGTAATCGCATTCTACTAAGCAGCGGCGTCAGTTCGTTTTTCAGGCCTGCATGAGTCAAGTGTTATTTGGAATTGTCTCCAATGCGTCATGCAAATAACACACGGAATCGCTCGTTTGCACAGCTTGAAATGTTCGAATACTGGATTATCTTGCGAGACTTCGACTAGTCTGATGGAAACGTTTCCGTTTGGATGTCACTTTCATAGTGTTCTCAACACCCTACAATGTCGTCTGACTTGGGGTATTAGAATCGACTGAGATAGTGTGGATAGCGTGTGTCCGTGAAATAAACATAGTCAACGCCATTGGGGACATCCGTGCGTTCGAAATCATTCGACGCACGGTTTCGAGTAGAGTTTTATGAGTGGACCACTGGCTGCAAAATTTAAGCAACTGCTTGTCTCTCTGTCACGTGAACATGCACACTTGGTTGAGTCGCCTGAATCCATCTGCGAGGTCGAGGTAACATCTCGCATTATTACGAGATAACCCGGGTGTTGGTATTGCTAAATCAGAACAAGGCATGTGGTCCTGAGTACATTGGACCATCGTTAGTAGAAGATGATGGCATCTTACTTGAGACTGTTTTAGCCGCTTTGTTCGGCACTATATGGCTCAAGGAGGTAGTACTTTCTGATCGACGAATGTCAAACATCACTCTAGTTCTCGAAAAAATCCAGTGAACTTTCTTTGAAAATTGTCGTGATATCAGTGTCATCCTAGCTGTCACCAGACATCTCATTGTGCGGCGGCCAACTGATTTTTTGTGCTGGATGAGTCACTGGAAGCTACAATGGGTCCCGTTCCGTTATAGAGGATGTTTTCACTTTTTTGAACAACGCCACGATACTTACAAACTATCTGTCGTAATGACTCACCTTGATTCAAGAACTGAGTTCTGAGTCTCCATCAGCAATCTATTATTCGTAGATCACAGGCTCATTTTATACCTCCCATCAGTTAGAACCACTCACTGTGGTAGAGCGCATCTCCTTGCTGTTGAATTCTTAGCCAGCGTTCGAGCTTCGTTCATGTCGATCTAAGTCGATTAAGTACTACCTTCCAGTTCGCCTCTGCAGCGATCGAATAGCTTTCAGACCGTTGGTTTAATACCGTTAAACCCGACCGTTCGGTAAACAACTGGCATGCTTAGTGTGGCATCTTATCACCCCACCCTTTCTTTTTTCTTTTTTATTGTTTTTGTTTGCAGTTTCTGTATTCACTTCCCTGCGGACGACCTTTCGGTCTGTTTTGTGATTGAAAAGTAGCTGCACTGGATAGTTTCCGAGTTTTCTTGGGATATTTTGATATCGTTTCTTTGCTTTCCTGAAAGCCTTTACCACCGTTTTTCATTTCGGATGTATAATTAAGCCGTTCCACACTTTATCATTCCTCTGATGCAATGTTTCTCGGACAATTTACTCACACTGGCTCTTTAAACAAGTTTTGATGGATCATCCTTGAATTGGGGGTATTGTAGAAACATTTCAGGCCTCCATTATCCGCCTTGCTTCTCAACCGATAGAACTTTTGAACATTGCCAACTGGTATGGCCTTGGCTATTCATTCAACTGGATCAACGCCGCCAAGTCTATCCACTTCTCTTTCCACGTTCTCCAGCTGTTCGGTAATATGCTTCTCCACATCTCTAGCGGAGTTGGCACTGGGATTAGTGATTGCTCCTCAACGGCGAGCGGGTTTTGGCATGACGATATCTCTGTCACCATGTCGTAAATGGCCCTCCGTGTATCGAAAATGAAAGCCTGGGCCTCGACCAACAATCATTATCAATTATCAGTTATTTATGGAACACAGGTTCATTTTATATCTCGCGTGAATTAGCACCACTCACAGATGTAGAGCACATCTTCTTGTAGGAGCTTCACTCATGTCGATCTAAATCGATTACATACTATCCTTCAGTACACCACTTGTATCGATCGACCATCATTCAGTGTGTTGGCCCGAAATCGTTTACCTCAATCGATGGCGAAGCAACGGGCTTCTAAATGTGGCGTCTAATCACCACATCCTTCTTTTTTCTTTTTCTCGTATTTCGTGTGTTGCAGTTGCGGTAGTATCTTCCACTGCGGGCGGACATTCGGTTTGCTTTGTACTTGAATAGAGGCTGCACCATATTGTTTGCTGAATTTTCTATGGGTATATTTTCCAACTGTGCCGGATGACCTACTCCTATCTACATCGTTTTGTGCCCTCCTATTTCTCCCAGTCCTCAGTGCCATTTCCAATCATCGTTTGGCAGCATCTTCCCTCTCCACTTACATCGAGATCTCTATTGGTCTTATTTTCCCCTTATCCATATAGGGTTCTTCAACCGGAACCTAATCTTCCCTCTGTTTTTGTTCACACCTCTGCAGCGATCCACTACCTTTCAGACTCTTGGCCCAAAATCGTTAAGCTTGACCGTTCGATGAACTCCCGACATTCTTAGTATGGCATCTTATCGCCACATTGCCTCTATCATTGTAGTCTTGCTTGACTTGAACTTCGCTCACTTGATTCGGTTGTTCACACCTGTTTATGTCGTTCGTTTACCCCGTGCAAGTTGTTCCCGGAAGAATTTACCTCTATTTTAAAATCTATGAGATAATTTCCGGGGCCTTGATTGATTGTTCCGAAGGGCGTAACTGACATAACTTCACCCAAACGATTGGAGTGCTTTTTGGATTATTCCACTTTCGCGTTTCTCTTCAGCTTTAGGATCGAGGTAACTCCAAATGACTGACTCAAGTCAAATCAAGATAAGCCTTTTGTTCCCAATCGGGCACGTTTAGAACATTGCGTATTCTCATCAACATACGGACTAAATTGGCATCATCCTTATGGTTGGCCTGGCAAGAAAAATCCTGACATCGGGCGGCCAACCACTGTCCTCTGCACAGGCGATAACCTGCATGGCAGTGAACGATGGGTTGGGCTATATCTCATTTAGTTAGTTGGCTACTGTCCACCATGGCTCAGTGGCATAAGTTGCCGGCTAGAGTGTAAGCCACTAGCGGCCATACGTTCGACCACCTGTAAGGGACTGAAGGAGAGCGCACCAATAACGCCCCCCAATAGGGCGAAACTGTCGTCTGGTACTTTTCCGGATTACTGGTTGATGTTCATGAATTCTAATCTGATTGCGACGAACCAAATATAAATGAAAATGGTGCATGGTCGTCATTGGAGCAAACGGCCCTGCTTTCCAGAGCCACAGTCACACAGTACCGAATGGAATCTTCCGAATTTACGCAGCGTTTTACTGGAACGTTTCTTCACAACTTGTTTAGTTAGCGTAACACTGCGTGTGTAAAAGCAATGAATCGAGGATTGTGCACAGTGTTTAATCCTTCGTATACTAAATGTGGATAGATTGGGACGGTCTCAGTGACCTTAGAAATAGTGTGAACATAGATATTGTCAGATTGTCCTTGCAAAACCGATACATCTGCGGTAGACCACATAAAAATACTGTTCAGTGAGAAAAGGCAACGGTTGAGGATATCCGTAGTTCGGGTTTAAACATTAATTCTGCACTGCTCTTTGATCTAAATGATTAGTTTGCAGCCGTTTCGTTGTCAGATTAGACAACACCGTCGGTACGGCTTCAAGAGCCTGTTTCACAGAGCCTCATAAGCGACTTCGAGATCTAAGTGCTTATCCACCCGATTCTAGTTTGAATACAAGGCTTCAATAAACTCACATGCTTTCCGGCTTTTGGCTCTTACGGAGGTTTTGACTCGCTCCAAGTTGAACTTTGGATAAAACCCGGCTGCTGGGTATGCACTGAAAAGTCGGCTGATGTGTAGCGTCGCATGCTTTGGCATGCGATCTCCACTTTCGAAGTGTGAAGTTTCGCTACCGAACTGAATCGATACATCAGCAGTTCCCGAAAGAATGGGAGGAACCACTAGGAAGAATCGATCGGTTTAGATAGGCTTATCATTTCTGGTGACCAATATACAATTGGCAGTTCCACAACACAGTCAACAACAACAGCAACAACAACAACAACAACAACAGGAAACCAGTTAGACAGTGGAAAGGTTTGAAAGGTTTACAAGGTTAATGTGCTGAGAGCACGGCTAAAACCTCAAGCTACAGTCACTTTCGGGGACTTCGAAGGATCTGTAAGCCTATTGGTCAACGGAGCGGTTTACGATCTAGTGATGCTGTCAAGTACCACTATATGGTTCACAGAGATTTGGTCACTGCGCTTTGACGATAGTAAGGCTTACCGTGTTCGACTAGCGATGCATGTAGCATATTACCCATATTTGGTGATAGAATCAAATGTGTAACGCTCGGCATTTAGCTTCCCAAGGCCCCGTTGGAGCGCCTTTGAATTAAAGTTGTGACATGATGCCGTTCTCCGTATATCGATGCGTCGGTTGTAACGGTGTCCGTTCTCGGCCACCACTTCTATTAGTGTGAAACCACGAGGTGTGGAATCAGTGAGATGATATTTCTATGAAAGACTGGGCTTGATTGGTGTTTTTGCCGTTCCTGGATTGGAACTACAAGATAATCCACGTCGCAGAATGAGCGGCGATCTTACACTCCTTTCTTTGTTTCTGGACCCTAACAAGTGCGTTTGTTGTTGTTCTTGTTATTATTATTACTATTATTATTATTACTGTTATCGATTTTATGACGCTAATCATGGCCATCTGATGCATCACACATCCGTACCATCACACCCCTTGTTCTCAGCTAAAGTTTGTTCGCCAGTCGCCTCCTGGGCAATCCGATTTCTACTTGTCTGAAACCATGCTGCCTTTCGTTCGTGCCAGGTTGAATTGATTGTACCTCGCCTCTACGAACAGTGTGCTAGTGTTGCGCCCGCTGAAGTGCCGCACGATTGACTTCTTGTCCACTAACCTGGCATCGGTTACGTCAACTCAACCTGCCAGTTTTTAGGTGTGGGTTTGAGTGTGTGTCGTGCTTTTTGTACTTTTGTGTCCGTATTACGGGATTGCCGCGTGGCACCTTATCCGTCATAATTTGCTAGATAGTACTTAGCGAATGTGGTCGTTTGCACAGGTGCTTCTGTGCATAGATTTCAGACGGAGTAACCGTTTACTGAGTATCATTTGGCTGTGCCGGTAATGTATTCTCGATCAAATCCTAGATCGAGACGTCCATTTGGAAGACAATGTTGTTTTCCCTGCGGGATACGTCGTGAATCCTCCGAACGATAAGAAAAGATTTGTGGGAGAGCATTGTGTTGAAGTGTTCCACCGTAAGCTTCCCCGTGTATGTTGATCGGAGCCTGTCTTCGCTTGATATACACTTGATGTGTATTTTCCACACAGTCATCTATAGTGTTGTCTGTTGGCCACCTATACGTCATGCGTGCTGCGGATGTTGACACATAGTTTTGTATCCACTCCTGATGTCATGATAGGTGATTGGCTTTTCCTTTGTAGCCTCTCCATCGTCTTCCAAGAAGAAGAAAAAGAAACGGAATATGGAGTGGGATAAATCTGGTAATCTGTCTACATCTGTATTAGCTGATGAGGCAAACAATCCTGGTGAGTGCGAGGTTTTTCAGCTGAGGCTGTGTTTGTATGCACGTATGTCTATTTGCTTGTGCCCCATGCTGAGGCTGATGTTGCATTCTTGATGCTTCTTCAATGCAGTTGGGCTAAACCAACTTACACTTAAACTAGGTCTTTTTAAGCTGGATACACTTCATACCATTCTGTTTGGTTTGTTCTGCCTACCTGAATACTCTTCTATTAACTGGCCACGTTGCTTACATTAATTGCGCTTATCTTCGGTAACCTTGTTGCGTTTTGTAGCATTTTTATCTAACTTGTGGACATTTTTTCCTTATCGCGGATTCGTTGCTAACCAACTTACTTCATATGGTAATTTAGGGAAGAGTTATGCCACCGTATCTGTATGCATTATTGGATTTGTTTTATTTCATCTTGTCGTTCCAGGTGATTGGCTGTTGCTTGATATCCCCGGTGTGGCTGCACTTGATGTGCATGTTGACAAGGTGCCTACCTGTCTATTACCCATCATCTCGTCCATGCTGGCTCTAGGAGACAGTTGGTTGTTGCTGGAGGGGACGGGGTGCACGGTCCTTGTGGTCGTGCTAGGCTCGAAGAGCGGTTCCATGCACTCAGTGTGGAGCGGACTACGGTCCAGCCACCGCATTGTGTGCGCTTGATTTCCCGATTACAGCGTGCTTGTGTTTGCCTGTGAAGGAGTGTGGGCCGGCTCCGTTGATGAAACGTGGCTCACATCCACATGCTTCCCGGTCTTATTCCTTCGGGTTTACACTGGATATGGAGTGTGTGGTTGGAGCTGTGGGTGGTGCAGCGCAAGCCACCCGTGATCCCTCTGTAGGCGCAGGCGTCCTGTGGCTGGCCACAGTGACGGGCAAATCCGAAACCGGATGCCGCCAACCAGTTTCACGGACGTACTACGTAGCTGAAGCTGTGTCTGTATGCACGTGTGCCTATTTGCTTGAGTGTTGCTGTCCACTTGTATTACCCTGTTATGCCGTCCTTTTTAAACCGACTCCTAGTTGGAACGAGTTTCACGATCTTTGTGGGTCCCACGACACACGCGCGAGACAAACGTAAATCGCATGACACCTGATGTCCAAAGAGCGAAAGGAAGACATGCTTTTGGCAAGATACTTCCACTGACTGCAAACTTTGAATACATATGACATAAGGGATGTATGAACTTGTGTCCAACGTGGGGTTTGCACGGCATATGTGTTCGCATGAATGGCGTTTGCCTAGGTCTAACGCGGGAGAAGCGGGGTCTGAGCCCACGTGAATTCGGTTTGCGCACTTCTATGGGAACGCACGTTCCCGTTGCACTCCTCTTCAGTTTTGGTTATTCCACTTTTTACAAATTGATCCGTAGCAATTTGGTCCTTCTGTGGACAAGTTCTGTCTGGTGTCGAAAGCGGTTTTGGTGTTGGTTAGGTAGCTTCTACGGACACTGGTTGTCACGGTGCGATTTCTAATGTATCTGGTTATATGTGCACCAGCTCTTAGCCTTAAGGATTACAAGTCTGCCTTTCAATCCGAGGGCGCGGGTTCCAGCCTGCGTAGGGACCGGGCGACCCTCGCCGTATCCTTTGCCCACGTGCGACTGATTGTGGTTGTGCGGCAGCGAAGCGTCGATACTGCGCACCGGCGTACTTCTGATGCCATCAGCAATTACCTAAACGAGTGGGATTGTTCAGAAGCTGTTCCGCATCACAGTGGAATTCGGTTACGGTGGTGAACCCATGTGTCTTTTCTCACAGCGGACATGGACAAGAGCTTCATCAGCGAAGACGGTAGGTTCTGTCTACGGCTCTTCGGTTGTGACTCGGTCTTTGTGTGTGTGGTATGCAGCTTCCGGCCCACCAGTATTTTGTCTGGAGATTGCCTTAGACTAGATCGTGGTTTCCGTGTGGTCCTGTAAGGGTACCGTAACGTCTGAATACTTGGATTCATTCCCTCTCTCTACGTGATAGGGCTGACTTGCCGAACAACCTCTACATAGTGCCAGCTGGCTGGTTCGGGTTTCCCCCATTCCAGCAAACGGTTCGGCGGCAGTGTACCACGATGTCGTGGATTTTCCCCTGGCAAGCGTCCTCCCTATAAAAAGCCACATATGTCCGTTTACCAATATTGCAACGTGGCGGATATGACTCCCCACTAAATAAAGTCACTGCCCCCTTGCTTCATACTGGCGAGGCATTATATTCCAACAACTTGCTGCTGAAACTTCGGGGAGCATTGGGCCCTTGTTTGGCAAACGTAAGGCGTATGAACCGAGCAATCAGTCAGCGGCTCCCAATAGGCGCGATTCCTTGAATCCGCTCTCCTGCCTTGCGGGCAGGCTATTCGGCTAAAGATTCGGGGTGGTGCTCCCTAAGACAACACTACTTCAATCTGAGCAACCGGTAATACCCTGCCTTCTGATGCGACCATAGACTCTTCTATACTGTGTTGTGCTTTCTTTTTACGACAACTGTATCTTCCTTTAAGTTCCGTGATTTTTGATGGCTCCATGTCTATTCGTAAACTCTTACAAACAAATATCTACGTGGTAGGTCGAAACAGTTATGCCTTGTCCCTCCGATCTGTATAACCATGGTGTGCGCGAGTTCATTATTATCATTGACTTACTGTCTGCTTGGGCCGCCTGCGTCGGTTGCGTTTATCCAAGGTACGGGCTACCAACCTCACATTGGGTGTTCTCGTGCGTATCTGTTTATTTGACTCCAAACGTTTTTGCGATTATTGTTTCTCTGTGGAATGTATCGTGGCTCACACAAACAATGCGAATGCATTTGTGAGAGAGGGTATTGTTGGACATTTATATTGTTGATGGGGTGTTAACTTCACATGTTTATTACCTTCACGGTCGTCTGCTGTGGTGCGAATGTTAACGCGTAGTTGTGTATCAAGTGACGATCTATTAAAAGTTGTGTTTGACTTGTGTTTTATAGCGTTTCCTTCTTCGTTGCCAAAGAAGAAGAGGAAGAAGGAGTGGAATAAGTCTGGTGATCGGTCGACGTCTCGATCAGCGGACGCAGTAAACAATTTTGGTGAGTATGGTACATCTTAGTTGTGGTTGTGTGCATGTACTTGCGTGCGTGCCTACGTGCCTAATCGTTGTGCTTCGCATGCGAGTTTCCCTTCACTGTTGAGAAGCTTCTTGCAGGTGTAGCGTGATCATTCTTTGCGGTATGTCGAAGGATTGGCGTGGTTTGGCGGCGGCGATTCCGTGATTGACCTTATGAACTCATTGTTGGAAAGTCGGTAATGCGATGAAGCTAAGTGCAATTAGGACAACAACGAATCTTTAGCTGAGCACCCTATCGTTTGTAGCGATGAGATCGCAGCGGCTGCTACCGAGACCTTAACATGGAGCGGATTGGCGTATGGGATTTTCCACAGGATAGAAGCGAAACAATACGAAACAGCGCTTTTTGATGAAGATGTCTTAACAGAATGAACAGGTAGATCCAGGAAACGATCCAGACAGTCATTGGGCGGTGGACCTGACGTTTTCTGTCATTTGACGCAACAAGGCGTAATCTTCCATGTGCACGGCTGTGTTGATTGTCCGAATTTCGTGTGCACCACTGGTGGTTTCTCGCCGTTTGTCTACCTGCCTCACAAGGGTAGTCTCATCTGCCCGAAAGTGTCGTTGTTTACTAGAGCGCACGAATAACATTCATTGGGGTGTTTCCTGGGTCAAACCTGTCGTCTGCATCTCACTTGTCTGCCTTTGCTGAATGCATCATTTGTCGCAGAAGGATCAGCTTTTTGCTACCTAGTGTCAGAGGAACAAAAACAAACCCATCGAACGGTAGTCATTGAGGATCGGAGCTCATTCGCCATTTCAGCTTTTTGAACCCCCTACACATGGTTGATGTAACAAAGCCTGCAGTTGTAGAATTTGGTTAGACAAGTTGCTTAACTTCCTTTTTCCGGTGCCTTTGAATCAACAGGTGATTTCGCATCACTTGGTAACGTCTGGCGCACCGTGTGTTGAAGACACTGCGCTGCGGTAGCTGTAAGCACACGAATTCGGAAATTTATGGAAAGCCCAAACGAATGAAACATGCTAGCGCTATCTGTTCTTCTTCCTAAGTTGGGGCACCAGCTTGTCATTCCGTAGTTATTTTACGATGTTGGTGGTTTTCCCCCTTTACGCAGTGTCTGCAGTTGCAAGACGCTCATGAAAGACCAATTTTTACTCGGAATCCGGGATGACAACCCCCAGTGAATGACTTTTGCGACAACGATATGTTTCATTTGGCCGATACATACAACATTGAGTCATCAGTCGCATACCATCTCCAGCAAATACGACTGCCAACTGACACGAATTTGTGCACAAGGTTCGGCATCCTGTCACTATGAAAGAAGAGATCGGGAAAGTCTGGGCTCTGCGACACCCGAAGAATCACGAACATTGTCCAATATTTGACCGGAATTGTGTAACGTGTGGAAAAGGAATCATTTTGTGCACTGTTGCCGTGACTGGCTATCACAAATCGCTCTCTATCATGATGATGTTCAAAGTGTTGATGATGTATGCCAGGCGAGCCAGTTGACCGACTGTTCCGTGCTACGGCGGAATACTAGCGTTGTTATCTATGCTCATGGCTCAGTGGCTTAAGCTGCTGGCTAGTTGGCATCTGCCTCTAGTGGTCTTGGGTTCGATCCTCCTTAGATGACCGTGGGAATGCGCACCACTGACGAGCCCCAATAGGGCGAAACGCGTCTGGTGCTTTTCCGGACTGGGCTCTAGTACGTAGCTTGTGAACTATTGGGAAAAAAGCCTTACCAGAATTACAACTAAAATCCTGCTACTCGTGAGTAATATAAATTTGCCTCTGTCATTCTCCACAGACTGGCTGGCACCCGTGAAGCTAGATTCGTGAAGAACAAGCCGGATTTCGTCGAGGTCGGGGCTGCATCGATCACATCTTCACCTTGCGTCAATTGTTGGAGCATCGCCATGTTTATTGGCGACCCACCGCTGTCGTATTTCTTGACATAAAAGGTGCCTTCCACTCAGTCGATCGACGTGCCCTTTTGGACTGTCTGCTGAGGAAAGGTGTGCCTGATAAATATGTAAACACTATCAAAGCGCTGTACGCGCATAGTTCGGGCAGAGTGAGGGTTTATGGCAAACTGTCGCCACCCTTCAGTATCACCAGCGGTGTGAGACAAGGTTGCCCGCTGTCACCTTTCCTCTTTAACTTCGCTGTTGATGAAGTCATGGAAACAGCGTTCACTGGACACGACCTAGAAGGTGTGAAGCTACTTCTTGGTGAGCGACTTCTTGACTTAGAGTATGCGGACGATATTTCCCTAAACTGTGACAGATCCCAAACATGCCAAGCAGCACTGGACCGATTAGCACTGGCTGTCAATCGTTTTGGCCTATGCTTTGCTCCATCGAAATGCAAAGTACTTCTCCAAGATTGGCAGGGACCCAACCCTGCGCTAACGCTTGGTGGTGATCTGCTTGAAGTCGTTCAGGAATTCAAGTATCTAGGCAGCTATGTTAGCACCCGTGGGATTGAAGATGAGGTTGAAGGTGAGGCATAGCAAAAGCTCGAGGTGCTTTTGCCAATCTCCGCCACCTGTGGCGCAGACGCGACATTACTCTTGCCCTGAAGGACAGAGTTTATAACGCAGTCGTCCGTTCAACTCTCCTATATGGTTATGAAACCTGGCCCATCAGGTCGACAGACATGAAGAGGCTCGTCATATTCGATCATCGCTGCCTTCGCAGCTTAGCTTATGTCTGGTGAGAGCCCCGCGTGAGCAATGAGCGTGTTCGGCATCGCGTACTTGGTGCAGGAAGAGCGAGTGAACCGGTCAGCACCATTATATCACGCACCAGGCTCCGATGGTTGGGCCACGTGTTGCGCATGCCAGCACACCAACTCCCGCGACGTGCATTGTTTGTGCGTTGTGGGTGCGGTTGGAAGAGGAGGAGGGGAGGCCAAGTGATGACTTGGTCGAGAGAGATGAAAACCCTCACTTCGAAGTTTGCGTCGGTTGGTGCATCCCGACTGCCTGGCTGGGGTCCTAAGGACGGTGAACACGTTTGGTTGGACACACTTGCTGATCTGGCTTGGAGCCGGGCCCAATGGCGTTTGTGTTGTGAGTTCCTTAGTCCATCCCCCTCCTGCTTAACATCCCCCTCCAATCACGATCTCACTCGTTAGGCATAATATAACTCTCTTTTTACTGCACGATAGCCAGTCGTTAGCTCTCCGGAACGATGTCCATCCGTTACTGGGGACTCAGCGGGCGTGCCACTGTTTGTTTTCATTGTCTGGTTTTTTGTATCGCGGCACAATAGCTGAGGTGTTTTCCACCTGCAGCTAACTTGTATGATGATGATAATGACCTACGCGATGTGCTTTTCAAACAAGTTGCGTGTGAATCAGCAGACTGATTTTGCTTGTGTTTACAAATTACAGCGGTTTGCTCTTACTTATCTCATTCTGACTGCTGACGGATTAGTTGACCCCATCACGACTCTTCATTGGAAAAGTGCACGAAGTGACAGGTTATTCAAACCGTTATATTAAGCGCGTGAATTGCTTTCTTCCGGTTGAGGAAATTACCAGTTACAACCACAAGAGGAGCATTCTACTGAGTATTTATGGTTCACAAATGTTGGAATCAAATCACATGTTAAACTATGTGTTCATGAGGTTCTCCGTTGAATGCGGTGGATGGTGTTTGCTCTGCGGAGTAGTTCATCGTAGCTCACTCGGGTGTTCCAAACACATTTGCTGCTGAGGGCGTTGTTGGACAATTGCATTGTGGCCATTTGTGTACTTTCGTTTTGCTGAATGGGGTGTTGATTTCGCGTCGTATAGATCTGATGTGGTGTATTCCCTCCACGGTCGTTTGTTGTGGTGTTTGTTTATCACTTCTACTTCATGCATGCTAAAGATGTGGCCGTGTGGTTGGGTATCCACGGAAGATTTCACCATGAGTTCGTTTGGCTTGTCTTTCATAGTGTCTCCTTCATCGTCGAAGAAGAAACAGAAGCGAAAGTGGGATACTCCTGATGCTTTGTCGACGCCTGGTTCAGCGGATTGGTTGGACAAACCTGGTGAGTGCGATATATTTCAGTTGTTCGTGTATGCATGTACATGCATGGTTGACCTTTTTGTGCCACATTCAGGTGTTTGTCGGATCGTGGAGATGAGTCATTCACCTGTACCGTCGATCTTACATGGCTTCCTGGTGGTTGCGCGTGACCTAAGCTACGTTTCCTCTTGTATTCTCACGTTGGATCAATTAGATCTGTGTTTGTTTTGCCGCTTTGTTTGTGACGAGAAGGCGATGTGTACCACGGCTTGTCGCAACAAGACTGGACCTTAAAGTGATGCGACGGTTTGCTTACTTCATTGACCTATTCAATTATACTGGATGGTGCCTCCTGGTCCCTTGGGAGCTACTCCTACGAGCTTGGTCAATGGTTAGAGGTCAGACAATTTCAGTTGCCTGGTCCTCCACGTTGGGGTTTGAAATGGGATGACATCCATTTGTGTAAAACTATATCATTTCCACTTTCCTGCTGCATTGCCGACAGGCTTTTGAGCCAAAGGCTTTGGTTAGGACCCTAATTGTTCTCTTCCCTAGGTCTGGGCGCCTTGGCAGTATCTCAGCTCACATACAACCATGAGAATTTTTCCCTACTTCGACTATATCCTGCATCGGCCATGGCGCAGCTCATCAAGGGTCGCCTTATCTGCTGCATACAGCGGGGCAGATAACCGAAAACATGCCACAGCTGGCGACTCCCTACCTTCTTTTCCACCTTTATCCCTTACTCCCATCCCGACCCCCATTACCAACCTTCCTTCTATAATTCCCAGCTTAATTGACAGCAACCGAAGTGCCACTGGAGTCACAGCATCTCCAGCCACCTTCCCGCATCACCCACTGGACACCTATCAGCAACAGTCCCTTGTAAGGCCACGCTGTCACGTTTCCCTGGCGGCGTTCAACATTCGCACTCTAAGACAAATCGGTCGACAGGCTGCACTCGCACGCACTTTGGACACACGGTATATTGACGTGTGTGATGTGTTCCCAATGGGATTGTTGTATTAACTACACCCGGGTTGCCCTCTCGCATCCGCAGGCGCTGGTGCAGCTGATGAAGCTTGTGTAGGTCTCATTCTAAGCTCCAAGTCTGAGCCATCATTGGTTGATTAGATTCCCGTGAACAGCCGTTTGTTTGCAGCCCGTTTGACGACATCACTTAAGGTTGATTCACAAAATAATGCAAAACACTGTTTGTGATTTCCGCTTATGCTCCCAGCGACTGCAGTTCTGACGCTGCCGGGGACATTCTATCACGAACTGAACGCGTTAGTACGCAGTGCTACTAACTCAGATGTCATGTTATTTGCAAGGGATAGGAACGCACAAGTGGAGAATCTGAGCTCTTCCAAAACTAAGTTATGGGGTTAATTATGAACTTAACTCCGAACGAACTGGCAACAGCGAGTATCTGTTGCAACTATGTGCGGAGCAACGGCTGTTTCTTAGTAGCACCACTGTTAGACACAGTGGGTGCCGAAGTGCCACTTGGCGTCCTCCTGTAGCTGGCCAGCGATGAACCCAAATTGACCACATTGTCATAAGTTGCAGGTGGCGTGGTTCCATACCGATTTGCCGCTCGTTCTGGTCTCTGATCATGCCTTGGTACGATGTCGTTTTTCCATAAACTTTACCGGGCCAGGTATCTGAGTCACACAATAACACAAGCCTTATTACGGTGTTATATACCATACGTCTACCTAGATGGTTGCGTCTCTCGAATGCCACACGTGCCTTGATTATATACGAAATAACTTCCTCAGTGATGTGACCACTGGTAAGTGATCCTGTAAGGTAAGTGATCCTGTTCACCACTTTCATGGGCTGTTTGCTGATAGCTAGAAGAGAAGGTTTGTCAGTCCAGTCCTTCACATACCGGAACTTGCAGCACAAAGCATCAACTTGTTCAGCAGTTCGTGAGCAGCGACTGGGTCCAACCCAAGTAGATCTATGTCAACGGTACTGATGATCTATCCGTTATTTACCGGACTGAACCTTCAATCTAGATGAAGCTGGATCGGCAGTCATGTTTAATCGCTGCGACCGGAACTTGAAGAGGATAGGTGATAAGGCGTAGACCTGGCGAACTCCACTCAGGAGCAAATTCCCGTAGACCCTTATTAGGTTTCGGGAGTTGCAGTAAACAGAATTTAGAACGGAAAGGGGTTTCCCTAGCAGGAGCTCCAATGAATAGATAGCACCACAAATTGGCGTGATCAACGGAGTCGAAGACAGCTTTCAGCTACAGGAAAACCATCACAGTCGCTCATTTATACATGCGTCTCTGCTCTAACACTTGGCGAAGTCATAATCCTCATTATACACGTCTGCTAGAGGTGGGAAACACCTCAACTACTGTGCCGCAATACATAAAGGAAAAGGAAAATAAATACAACAGTTGAATGCCAGCTGAGCTACTAGCAACGGATAGGCATCGTTCCGGCAAGCTACCAGTCCGCTACTAGGCAAAAAGAAAACTTATTATCTTTTACGCTACAAAATGAGATCGTAGATTGAGGGAGAGGCTAAAAGGGATGGGGAGGGACAAAGAAACTCACTGCAGGAACGCCACTGAGATCGGTTCCTTGCCATGTCAGCAAGTGTATCCAGCCAAACATGTTCATCGTCTTTCGGACCCAACCAGGGAACCTTTACGCTCCAACCGAGGCCAGCTCAGAAGTGAGGGCCTTCATTTCTCTTGACCAAGTCATCGCTTGGCCACCCCTCCTCTTCTTCCATCCACATCCCCGGTGAGCGAACAACGCACGTCGTGGAAGTCGATGAACTGGCATGCGCAACACGTGTCCCGGCCATCGGAGCCTGGTGCATGAAATGACGGTGCTGAGCGGTTCAGTTCCTTTTTCTGTGCCTTAAACAAGGTGTCGAACGCGCTCGTTATTCATGCGGTGCTCCCACCAGATGTGAGCCAAACTGCGAAGGCACATATGGTCGAACGTAACTATGTCCGCCTGGCCAGGTTTCGCAACCGTACAGTAGGGTCGAACGTACCGCTGTATTGTACACTCTACCCTTCAGGGCGAGAGTGATGTCGCCCCGCCGCCATAAGTGGCGAACGTTAGCAAAAGCGCTTCGAGCTTTTGCTCTACGGTTCGTGATCTCGTCTTCGATCCCAAAGGCGCTGCTGCAACTTCTCAGATAGTTGAATGCTTGAACGTTTTCTAGCTGATCTCCACCAAGGGTCAGCGCAGGAGGCGATCGCTGCCAATCTTGGAGGAACGCTTTTTATTTCGGTGATGCAAAGCTAAGCTCGAAGCGGCTGACAACCAGTGCTAGTCTGTCCAGCGCGGCTTGGCACGTCTAGGAGCTGTCACAGATGAGGGCAATGTCGTCTGCATACTCTTAGTCAAGAACTCGTTAACACTTGGCGAAGAGTAAATGTATAATCTATGAAACCTCGACTAAAATGGAATCTACCCGAGATCTCGATCCCACTCTCATGGTGGCCAGTGAGTCGTCAGCAAAATGATGCCTTTGTGAATTTAGAAGCGATGGCAATAAATCATTTGCTTGGAAGATTCTTTGGAAGATAGGGATGACTATTGACAGGTTGAATAGCTGGAGTGCTTATTCTCCTGTACCTATAACAACGGTTCCAAACATGAGTGCATACGCTGTTGGATGACATGTGAAAGAGCGTGGAAGAGCAGATGAACCATGTTGAGGGACTGTCCCGCATGGAATCAGATCCTCAGAAAGACGTTTCACTGATGGCCGTATTACTTCACTTTACCGTTTGCATATATTTATATATATTCTTACTCTCAAATTATCTGACTTACGAAATCATTTAGCTGATTGAATACCGTCGAAATCTGCTTTGAAAATTTCCAACAATTTTCTAACGTATCCCCCTGTACGAAGTGATCGGATCAACCAGTTTCTCTGTATATCACAGTGTCGAGAGTTACAGTATGTCTAGTTTTAGTCAATAAAAGGTCGCCTATATTTTTAGCGAGGCTATATGTATCTCGTCCCGTCCAAGAAGAGCTTTCTTTCCTTTCAACACGACTCGTTCATGTCGAATCCCTTCGAAAATGATCCATCAACTTTTTATTTGACCTCGGTGGGATTCAGCGAGTGGACGAACGGAATACGTGTACTATTCCACCTGGCTCGTCGTACCATCAGCTTCTATCGAGATATAGGAATGACCCACTCCATTTCTACCTTATCCCCACTGATGATAATAAGTGTGTCTATCTTGTACTTTGTAGTGTTTTCTTCGCCATCGTCACCGCCGAAGAAGAAAAAAAAGAAGCACACTTTCGACAAGTCTGGTTCTTTGTTGACTCCTGATTCAACAGGTGAGCTCATGAACAGTCTTGGGTAGTGCGTGGTATTTTTTCTCGCTGTGCACGTGAAGATCGTTATGCTTCGCATGCGAATTTTTGTCTGTCCATGGAGAGAATCTATGCAGATGTCGTGTTCTTTGGCTGCATGGTAGTTGCGGGAACTGCAGTCTGCCACTATGGCGTGGTCGCATTGGTTGATTTGGGTGGACTTCTATCCCTTTCTATGTAAACCCACTATTGTCCCACACTGGCAAGCGTTCCGTCGTGCATATTTATTTCTCTCTGTCTTGTATTGTTCCATACTTTACAATCTCTCGTATGCGAATATGGATTACTTTCCACTGCACCTGCACTTCACATCCCCAGCCGGCCCGTAGCCTAAACCTTGTCTTGTAATCTGACGGCGTGTGTTCGAGCCTGTTTAGGGGCACGGCAATCCTCGCAGTATCCTTAGCGTACGTACAACCGGCGATGGTTACACGGCAGCTCAGCGTCGATACGACGTACTGCTGATGCCTTTCTTTCCCTCTGCTATGACGCTTGCCAGTGTCTTTGCATTTCGTCTCGTACTGTGTTTACGACTGACTGTCCATTTCACCTTCCGCGCCAGAGTGGATTTGTGACCCCTTTAGTAAATGCTTCAGCCACATCAGCGGTCACCTTGTCGTGTTCGTTCGTAAGTATGCGGATAACCGACTCAGCAGTACCGTTCACATTCCGCAAGTGCGCCATTCATGTGATTAACCGGTCACATAGCGTTTCACCCGTTGCCTTCAAACGCTGTGCACTACGGTACCTTTGGTGGCACGTTACTTTTTCTGAAGCCTATGTTGTTGGCCCTCGAAACGAATTTCTTACTGTTTTCTAATGATTTTCCTATTGTCACTGATTGTGTATGTGTCATTAAAGCTTCCTGCTGTGTTTGTTAATACTACTGTCACCTAGTTCGTGCCCTGTTATTCTATTTGGCTCCGATAGAAACCCACCACTCAGCTGCTACAACCGATTTTCGTCTCATACGATGCTCATGTTTTCTGTGTGTGTCTGTGTGGTGATATATGGAGTTTTTGTAGCCCTCCGAGAGTGAAAACAAAGTCCGCCCATCGGCGACTTCCGATTGGAGTTGATAGGGCTGAGGCATATTAATGCACATGGCAGCTCTGTTCGATCGAAAAGAAGATAGTCCCATCTGATTGACTATCAGTAAACATCACTCAGATCTTCGAAAGTGGCGAAACAAAGCCATCTTGATATCAGTGTGATGCCAATTATCCGCAAGCCAGTATTAGCGTGTGTCCCCCTGTGCGGACCAACGGCATTTTGAGAGATGAATAAATGTATCCTTAGCTGGCTTCCACCCCGGTTGGCCGGTATGCCAATTGCGCTGTTGCTCTTCGTCAGGATACTCATAGGTAGCTCATCATTTTGTCCTTCGTTGACTTGATTCCTTTGATTGCGCTTGTTTGTGGAATGTTTCGCCGTAAACGACGATGTACCTGAGATGTCCCTCTCCATTATATGCTCCATAACACATCTGTCGCGGCGGTGTGAAAGCCAGCGGAGTCTTTCACCTGATTTAACCACAACCTGAACAGTGCGTCTAAATCGTCATATTTCTGTGTCTTTCGATGATTCGCGCATGAAGCGTCGTGGTACCTTGTCAGTTTTCGTTGTTTGCGCGGTTTTCGATGTGAATCAATTGTAAGTGGTGTAACGGTTGATTGTGCCCGCTTTTTGCTCTACGTGTGGTGTATCCTTGATTAACTCTCCAACTCCGAGCGACATGCTGTACTAAATGTCCACGAGATTGCGATATGGTCTGCAGTGAGTGTTGGTATCTCTACGAACTGCATCGTGGCTCACTCGAACGACGGGAATGGATTTGTGATAGACACGATCGCCTTAGAATTGCATTGCGGTTAGCTGCTTGCGTATTGACAAATGGGTTGTTAATGTTACCTGCAATACGCCAGACGTGTTTGTCGCCATGAACGACTATTGTGGGTTTTGTCAGTCACTTGTAGATCATCCGTGCTATGCTTTTGGGCACTTAGTTGTGTAGTTACTGTTTGTGTACCCCTAAGTGTGTTTAACTTGTTTTACAGTGTCCCATTCATCGGAGAAGAAGAAGTGGATGACGAACTGGGATACGTCTGGTGATTTGTCGACGCCTGGTTCATCGGACGGGCTATTCAATTCTGGTGAGTGTGGGATATTTTGCTTGTGTTTGTCCGTGGGGGCATATGCTTACGTGTATGGACGCTTAGCCTGTGCGTCTGCGATATATTATGGATCGACTCTCCAACACCTAGCTGTGTGTTGAACCAAGTATGCATGCGATCTGCTCTTGAAGTTCTCCAGTGTGTGCAACGCATGGTGTTTTCTCCTCGGAATGCATCGTGTCTCACTAGGATGATGGGAACACACTCTTGGGCGAGCGTATTGTTGGGGAGTTGCATTCTGAGCATTTTTGTGCATTCGTTTTGATAGATGAGTTCTGATCTCGCGTGGTGTTATGTATTGCCTCTGCGGTCGTCTGTAGTGGTGTTTGTTGGCCACTGCTGATTTTACCATCAGTGCCTTTGATTTGCCGAAAGGATGAAACGCGCGTACAGTGCTTTTCCGGGCGTGTGACATCTGTCTGAGTGAGTCTAGATGTGACGAATTTCTACCTATACCATTCAACTCCCCCATACTACTCCTCTGTAATTTGCGTTTTTGTAGCTTCTCGTTTATCATCGAAGAAGAAGCAGTAGTGGAACAACTCTGGTGATTCTTCGACTCATTTTTCAATGGATGAGCTGAATACTTCTGGTAAACGAGAGGTGCTTTAGTTGTTCTTTTGTGTACGTGCGCCCGTTCGGATGTGCTTAAGCGTTGTGCTTCGCATGCGAGTGTTTGCTCGACTGTGAAAAGACGCCATGCGATCGGCCTGCATGGCTACCTTGGTGTTTGGTTAGCTGACAACTCTCATTCCGGAATAGCCTGGAAGGACAGAGTTATTTGTGATCACTTTGATCACAAGTTGAAGGATGCTAAATATACAGAACACTCGTTGTAAATCCCACTCGTCGTGGGTAACTCAGGAGGCGGTCTCTTTTAGATCATTACCCAGCCTCGGTAGTCAGGGCAAAGATCTCGGAATTGAGAGGAGATTTTCTGACACACCGTTCATTTACAGGTAGTACCACAAGGTTGTACTGTCGACATAGTCGAATTTGGCATTAACGTCATTTAAAACCACCATATTCGGTAGTCCACAAATGTGTCTCTCTTTCGGTACTTGACCAGGACGTGGTGAGTTTCCACCTAGCAAACTTTCCGCCGAACAAAAGGCCACAAATGTCGGTTTAACAACACTGCTGCGATGTAGCGGATTGGACTCGTCGCTAAGTAAAGTCACAGTCTCTTGCGGGTCCCGCATGACCCTACTCACTGCACGGACGCCATTTATCTAGTAAAACGTTTCCATCTCACTCCTTTTCATGCCGACGACCCGACCCTGAACACGTCCATAACAGCAGCGTCACTTTTACAAATTCAAGCAACACAGCTGCACGCACTGATGGTTGACGGCATCCGATTTCAGATTTGCCTGTCACTGTGGCCAGCCACAAGACGCCTGCGCCTACAGAGGGACCATGGGTGGCTTGCGCTGCACCACCCACAGCTCCAACCACACACTCCATATCCAGTGTAAACCCGAAGGAATAAGGCTGGGAAGCATGTGGATGAGAGCCACATTTCATCAACGGAGCCGGCCCGCACTCCTTCACAGGCAAACACAAGCACGCTGTATTCGGGAATCAGTCACACATAAGGCGGTGGCTGGACCGTAGTCTGCTCCACACTGAGTGCATGGAACCACTCTTTGATCCTAACACGGCCACAAAGACCGTGCACCCTGTCCCCTCCAGCAACGACCACCTGTCTCCTGGAGCCGGTATGGACGAAGTAGTAGGTAATAGACAGGTAGGCACCTTGTCAACATGCACATCAAGCGCAGCCACACCTGGGATGTCAAACAACAGCCAATCATTCGAAATGTCGATATCAAATAAAACATATCGAATAAAGTAAACGTATATGACGACATAAATACTCGCCAAATGAGCATATGGAGTAAATTGGATATAAGCGACTCCGCCATAAGTACAAAATGTCCGAAAGTTATTTAAAAATTACCACAATTATCATGAGCGACGCGTACAAGTTAGGAGAAGATTATCAAGTACACAGAACAAACCAAATAAAGTGGAATGAATTTTATCCACCTTAAAAAGACCTAGTTTCATTGTAAGTTGATTTAGCCCAACATACATAAAGACAACATATAGATCCAACATGTTATTAATAACCTTGCAACACTATTGCGCATTCGCCGATCATTCGTATTCGTATTGCTATAATCACGCCTATATTCAGCGGTGCCCATCGTTGTCGAGAATATATTATTTATTTGTAAATATGTGATCATTGACATTACTACCAATGTGAAAGTCAGCTGTGCTTTCTGTGGTCCGGCTCTCACTATATCCATTTGGCTGTCACAAGATGACACAAATGAGTATTTCCGAGATACTGGCATTTATGCCAATGCTTCGACTATTTTCGCACAAAGCGCTCCGGTCGTGTTTGAAGGTCGGGACGACGGTATGCAGTTGGCAGTCTGAGGGCACCTCATCAGTGCCCCAAATAGTGTTAGATAGAATGACGCGTTCAGTCTTTAACCGTTAGATCTTCCAAATTTTCTCTATATTCCGAATTAAACACCCGAAATTCTTTGCAAAACATCTAGCTCAGCCGAAGAAAAATCAGAAGTTCTGCGACAATGACCGAGAAAAAGTGTTAACCAACCGTCGCCAGAACGCTGGCCCATACCTTCGCCAAAGTTATAGGTCGTTTAATGGCCTTCGGCTTCCAGAAAACGAAGAGAGGGCACATTATCTGTAACCAGATTGTGATTATATATATATATATATATATATATATATATATATATATATATATATAGAAGAGAGAGAGAAAGGAAGGTTAACTGGTAAAATTAGTAGTTTCCTTGTCAAACCTCCGTATGTTGGCGGTCACCTGGAGGAATGGAAGGTTCCAGCATCCTCGAAATCAATACACAATCGAAGTTGATCGATTAATTCCTGAAATAATGGGTTTTCCTTGATGTTTTACCTTATTCCGGATACCCCCTCCTGGGATGCTGCCGCGGTGCGTGATGATAGTCTGGGTTGACTTGAAGCTTCCTGGACTGTGTTCTATGCCTATCGGTCCATCGCCTTGGCTGTAATGTTCTGGATTCGTGTTGCGTGCTCTGCGGTCTGGCATCATTCTTCTGCTGACAAGGTTCTTCCATGGACTGTTTCGCCGAATGAAACGTGTCCGCGAACAGCTCAAGTAGGATAGGGCAAAGTCATCAGGGCAAACCTGTTATTTTAGTAATTAATCGCTTGACTTCGATTATGCATTGATTTCGAAGATCCTGTAGTCTTCCATTCTTTCACGTGACCGCCAACACGCGGAGGTTTGGAAATGAAGCTACTAATTTTACCAGTTGACACCTTATCAGTGCCCCAGATACTGTTAGATAGAACGGCGCGTCCAGTCATCAACGGTCACCATCTTTCAGCAAACGTGGGGGAAATTTGTCAAGCGGTGTAACATCAATTTTCCTTGCGAGTCAGTAAGTGGAAGTGTCGTAAAACGCTTTCTGCTCAGTGAGTCAGTTGGAGAGGTAACCATTCCCACCACAGAATGAGAAAATGAATCTGATGTGTTTTTTATACAAACAACAGAGTGCCTCTGTTTCACGGCATATAAAAGTCCATGTCTGGCCAACTTGACCGCGACGGAACAATTTGCATTGCAGCAAAACTGAATGGGTGGTCGGTTGATGAAGTATTTGAATTTGCAGAGGTGAATGAATGCGTATTATTTGTACTCATCAAGTCAAGGTATGAACCATTTTTTTCTTTATTTTTCTTTACCCCTGCATCCTCATTGATGGGTTTGACTTGCTTTTTGCAGCGCTCCTTTCGTCGAAGAAAAAAACAAAGAAGCAAAAGTTGTATAGACCTGGTGATCTGTCGACGCCTGATTCAATGGACGCAATAAACAGTTCTGGTGGGTATGAGACGTTTTTGTTGTGTCTATATGCGCATGCATTCCTTTGCTTCAGCCTTGTGCTCCGCGTGCCTGTTTTGGCCATCCCTAAAATGAACCCATGCAGCTGACCCTTGGTTACGCAAAACGAGAGCTGCGGGATGCCCATATGTCACCGCACTGGTTGATTTTGGCGGCAGATTCGGTCGCCGCTTTTCGCTCCCCGGTTATTCACTTTACGCCAGATTTGCTTCTGCACGCCATTTAGTGCTGGCCTCGTTGGTTTGTGCTTCATTCGCACTGTGGACTGTCTCTGATGTATTCGCACTCTGTGTGTGAGAGAGAAAGATAGTCCGCGTGGAACGTTGCTGCGGGCGCAATGTAACTACTGTTTGGGGTGGACGTGGTGTGTCTCCAATCCTCGGTTGAGTGATCAATGGGGTGTTGGTTCGTTTTCCCGAACCTTTGTAACTGCGCTTCACGGGGTGACAATCGTGTGTGGCTGTTCGTTCTGATTACGTGACATTGGTCTTCTCCTTCTTGACTTGTTCTTGGCATATGGCTATTGCTGATATTTACACCTAACTGTTCGGAGCCTGTTTTGGCCATATTATCCGTTGACTATGGGTTACAGGAAGCGTTGCGTCGTGACTGCGTCATCAGTGAACTCGCGTTCCTTTGGCCATCACATCCCTCATCTTGTATGGTTTGTTCTTGTACCATCGCTTTGGAGAAGAGGAAGTTCAACATGCGCTTTCGCGCTGGGAAGCGCTTTGCGTTCTAGTTGATTTATGTGCCTTTGGCAAGGGTGGGCGAAAACCTCTTACGACGGTGGGTGTAAGATTTTCGCATGATGTGTTGACGGCACTTTCCCATCCTTTTGTACTAGCGGCTCCAGCAGAAGCCTGGTCGGATTTAGTGAATTCCCGCTGACCTTTGCCCGATTGACCGTATGAAGCGATTGTCTGTTGCCTCTGCGCCCGCTATGCATGGACATTTTTGACACTGTTTTGTTGACGCGGACGGTCATTTGCTTCTTTCATTTTCCTTGTTTATGTGCTTTTTTATCATGTTGCATCATGCTTTGCCGTTAACACATAGCACTTTTCTCTACACTCTCATGTTTTTATCATTGCCTTTTCGTTATTTTTATTCCTTTGTATACACTTTTTCTATTCCCCGGTCTTTCTCGCTAGTTTTTCGACGTAGCTGTGTATTTCTTCGTGGCATGTGTCTCGTTGTGTTTGTCAAATCTACAGCAATCGGTGTAGGTTGCGTCACAGTCTGGCATCCATATCTCGGTTTATTATGCGCTGCAGGCTGTCTGACTCGTTGTTGATGCTATATGCTTGGGAAATAATCCCTCGTCTTCGCCTGTGGTCGATCTCCACGGATCACAATGTTCTGTTCAATCAGTAGTTCCTTATTTACTTCATTTGTATGTAGTTGATTTTCGGGTACCATTATTATTCAAATTCAGCGAATATTGAAACAATCCCGTACTTTTGTATCGTATGACTAATGCACACCCTTCCCGCTTTCAAATCTGCCGCTTGCATTCAACTGTGTCTCACCCAGTCTTCAATTGGCTTACCTATCTTATTAGTGCATTAACTTTTCTCATGACTTCCTTATTTTGAAATGCTGCTTACGTTGTTGCGGGTATCCTTCACTTTTATCTTTTCTCCTTCCAGCCAATTGATGCTACTGAGAAGCGCCGTTTCTTTACGAAACTGTAAATATGGAATTTGTGTATACTGAACGCACTTTTTCACTCGGCTTTCGAGTTCTAAGTGTTTATCTCAAATACAACTCTTACTCCTCTGTATCCTTATGCGCACACATCTGGTTTCCTTGCATAGTTTGCGTGTTGTTCGGATTCTCCTTGATCCACCGCTACTTAGCTGTGAACACTATCGCTCAACTGGAGTTATCCTGTTCGGCTTCTCGCTCGTGATCTCCATAGGTTAAACCTACTTGGGCACACGATTAATACATAGTAATGGTAAACAAATGAAATACGGTTCCTGAATCGTAATCCGGCAAGCACAATTAGTATAGACAGCAAGAACTTTTTCAACCATTTGACGCACAGTACATGGTTCACAGAACCTATCTTGTAGGTCCTGGGTGTGTTAGACCTAGTTGGCTGGCTGGTATGAGTGAACAACCAGTCGGCACACATTTGATTTGACCAAATCAGTCGTTCACTCACGCGAATCCATTTCGATCATGAAAAGTTCACACTCCTGGCATAAAGCGCTCAACAAGTTTAGAGGGGGGGGGCGATAGGGTCTGCGAAGCGATGGTGCATCTGATGATTGCACAGAATCTTTTGGAGGCTCTGTCCGATGCCCGCAGCACCGAATCTGATACACACAAATGTTCCCCTACTGTATCCTAACACAACGCGGGCTTCTGTGATCCGAATATCAGACTACACGACCATTTACTTCGATATCTGCTTGTATACCCTTACATTTAACTGTGGTTGTGGGTTCCTAGCAGTGCTCATGAGAAAGACGTGTATATACAGGGTCACCCGACCGCCAGTCAGGGTCGTACATTCCTTAAAATGCAGCCACTGTCGTTCTATCTGCATTGTTAACGGTGATTTGTAACTATAAGGTCCAATCTAGTGTGTGGTGTTCTACCAAGCATCAATTCTGCTGGTGATTTACCATCGATTTCCGTTGGCGTTATCCTGCACGTAAACATTAGACGGTCTAGTATCATCTGAAAGGTCCGATAAACTGTTTCATTGTGCATCTACTGGTTTACACAGGAATTTTGATAACTCATTGAAGGCAAGATGGTATGAGGCTCCATTGCCCACGAAGCTTTCAAATTCCTTCCCGGTGCAGTATGGCCCATTGTTCGTGAAAGGTGTTTGTTTCGAGTATCCCAATTATTCAATATTATTGCCACATTTAAGGTGTCTTTCTGCAGTTGAGTAGGAAACGGGATAATCATCCATTCTTTTCGAGTGAGCATCGATTGTTAGCGAAAAAAGAACCATTTATAGGGCCGGAGTAGTCAGCGAAGATGCGTTGGCGTAACTATTCTGGTCAATGCCACGGAGGTACTGATCCGAAGAGTTACTAGATTAACACTATTGGTGCCGACCGCACATTCTCAGTTGGCTTTCTATTTCTGAATCTATACCAGACCACTAGCAATAGCCCTGCGCAGAGGATTTCACTCGGTTCACACCAGGGTGTACATAGTGGAGCTCTAGCAGAATGAATGACATCATCTGGCATTTCGTGGTATTGAACCGCTCAAACATTGAATGGTATAATACAGATGGGGTAACGCTTGTCCGCCTCATCACTTCCCGATCAGTGTGAAGATGGTGCGTGTGATAGCGAAAGGAAATGTCACAGTAGATGAGCACAATTTCACGGATAACAGCAAGACTCCGACACATTAAGCAAGTGCACATCTAACTGCTTCTTGAAATTGGCTAGACTGACTATAGCCTCCGGTAATTTGTTCCAGTCGTTCACTGCTCGGTTGGCCACAGTAATCTCTGGACGGACGTGAAGCGTCCTCGGTTTAACGAGTTTCCAGCTGTTGCCGCGCGTTGACCTATCTATTGAGCTGATAGAATTATTATAGCTCACTACCCCAATCGCCTCTGAGTATGCGTCTTGGGTAAATCAGATCTCAACGGATAAAACAACTTCCAAAGCAATGGGATTGATTTTGAACCTCGTCTCTGAACTCTTTTAATCAGATCACTTGACTTTAGTGCGTGGGTCAATTCCCGGTAAACCATACTCGAGGATGGAGCGTACATGTGAGACAAGCAAAATGATAATACGTATATATCTCTTGATGAGAGAAACTGTGTCTATAGCGGCACAGATCAATTTGTACAGAAGAATCCATGCTCTTGCATTAGTGACATGCATAGGTGGTGTGTTGGGATATGCGTTCCATGTATTAACATTCTGGCGGATGGTTGAGGCCATAGCCTAGATATGAAAACATTGGTGTTTATATGTTTTTGAGCTCCTCTTGCAATAGCTCATCGAGGGCTTTTTCCCATGTGAATATGGAGATTACGGTAGTTAGATCAAGGTAATTGGCGAGTATGCTTTTAAATGTTACCACATTTTCACGTGACCTGCATATTATTGGTAGTTTATTCCACGCATAGCTATATTTGATAAGGGAGAAATTAGAGCGGACGTTCGTTCTGGCCTTCGGTATATTCAGTGTGAAATCCTTGTTGTGAAGCGCTCGAGCTGTGCAATGTTGTAAATTGATTGTAGGCAGGTTGGAATAGATCCTTTTGTGTATCACGTTAAAAAACAGCAACAACTTGTGTTTCAATCACGGAATTCAAAGTGGTTCGAGATGAAGTTCACTGCGACGTTCTCGCTAACTCATAGCAGATTGCTTACCAATCAAATGTTCAGTAAATGATCTCTGCAGGTGCTCCACAGTAACTCTCACTCTCATATTGCCGCATATTATGCTGCAGTATTCCAGAATGGGCGAGTGAGTAGCTTGGAAAGCTCAACTCTAGCACGAGTTGTGTGTATTTTGTTTGATATATTGAACATAGACGGTCTGGCAAGTGCTACTTGGTATTGGGCTGTTCGTAGAAATTGAAGGTAGACGAGTACCTAATTCCAAGATCTCGTGGCTACAACTCTGTAAGGACGCGTCCATTGTTTAGGGTGATAGATCCTTCGGGGATGCAGAAGCCGTAAGACATGATGCTTGATTTCTTAGTCGAGAGGTTCATCACGCATGTGCAGTACCATGACTCCAGGGAATGTAAATCATCTTGAATGAGCAGTAATGTCCCGTGAAGCTCGTCACACCGAAGCTCATAGACGATTTTGATATACTCAGCAAATAAAAATGATGTACCATGTTTTACAGACCTGGTGATGTTATTGATGTAGAGCAAAAGGATTAAAAGACCGAGCACGCTCCCTTGAACGACTGTTGGGCGGAGCCTGGGATACTAGTCGGTAAGTAATGACACGTAATACGTGTCAAATACGACAGTACAGAAGTCGGAGGCGACTGAACCCAACGTATATTGTACAGGCTACAAGAATAAGAAGCGAATCAGACAGAGCGAGAAACATGCAGCGAGGTAATCACCAAAACGGTTTGGGTGCCAACGGACGTGCAGTCAGTAAAACAAATGGACGTTTCGAAGGTTAAAACAACCGTAAAATCCAATGTTACAAAATACTGAAAGAGCTTGTTTTCCGGTACACCACAAGGGTCTCCCCCTAGAAGGTTGAAGAGTGGAAGCCTTCGATGAAGCTATTGGTGGGGGAAACGGGAGGTGAGGTGGATGCGAATATTTGCAGGGGCTTGAGTAAGGGCTTCCAAAGTGGGGTGTGTAGCAGAGTTCTCTGGGTCCAGGCTTTTGTTATTTATTATTTATGACGATCGTGTGGACCAGAGTGCATCATCGGTGGGCAGTCCAGAAAAAAGGCCGACAAGACCTTCCCTTTGCTGCAGACCCGACGGTGCGCTTGGGAGGTGTCACCCCCCCACCGCACTTTAGTCCACGGTCCTCGTCCCAGGAAGAAATGCGGGCGTCCTCGTCGGCAATGTTTAGGCGGCGTTTGGGGACCAATCCGTTCGTGGGTGTCTGCGGTCGAGGGCGACTGTCTGTTCCTTGGGTGAGGAAGGGGGCTGTAGGACGGCTGGCGAGTCACTCCAGGGTTGCGTTGAGCCGGTTGGCGCGTCACTCGAGGGTTGCCTGGGCAGTTCCGGCGGTTGAGTTTCTGAAAGTTAGAACTCAGAGGGGGTGGGCATGAGTCGGGGAAGTGGCTTGACGCCGGAGAGGGAACATGGCATGCATGATAAAAACAAATACGCTTTTAGGTTTTCAAAATGTTTTAGGTATTTTTGTCGATTTTGCAAAACGTTTGGGGATGAGACGCAGGATAACCACTAAAGATGACAAGGGCGTGTTAATGGAAATAGCAAACGCTTACAAAATCTGGAAAACGGACCGGACGTTTAACCTGTCTACCGCGTCGGTCGGTTGCCTGGGGTTGCGGCGGGATAGTTTGCCGGTCAAGGGGTACGAATGGTTCCGGGTTATCCAGTGCTGGGGAAGTCACCACAGGTGCGGGTGCTTGTGCGAGAGCATCAGGATGGGCTGCAAGTGGTTCGTCAAAGAAAGCCACTTTGAGGCGGTCGATGGACACCGTTGTTCGGTGACCATTCTGGTCTAAAGTAAAATGTTTCGGAGTCCGTTGCAGAACTCTGAAAGGGCCAGTGTAGGGAGGCTGGAGAGGGCACCGCACTACGTCGGTGTGGAGGAAGACGTGAGTGCAGGTAGAGATCCGCTGTGTATTTGCACATCTCTAGTCTGTTCACGGGGCGGGGTCGGGCGTAGTGAACGCATGCGTTGAGCTAGGGAGGACGCAAAGTTAAGCGGAGGCATACCCCACGATGCGGGAGGCGAAACGAATTCTCCTGGTAACTTGAGCGTCGTGCTGTAAACCAGCTCTGCTGGCGCACATTTCAAGTCAGCTTTGAGGCTGCCGCGAATGCCTAAGAGTACGAGCGAAATGTTTTCGCTCCATCTAGGGTCGGAGGAGGCGCAGAGCGAGGCTTTAAGCTGTCTATGGAAGCGTTCAACTAACCCGTTGGCTGTTGGGTGATACGCTGTGGTATGAATGCGGCGAAAGCCTAAGAAGTTGCAGAACGTAT